ACTAGCAAGATCACTGTTAGCAGGGACAAAGCTCGGGTCCATGTAAAAAAACGAGCTGTCAGACTCATTTGAGACCTCAATAGGATCCCCCAGGGTGATAGCCTATCACCAGTCCTTTTCACCTGCTACCTTGCTGCTGCACTCTCATCTGTCCGAGAAAGCTCCAACAGGCCCAACCCACCGATCTCCAGCCTAGGTCTGCCACTAGTAATGGAGTACGCACACGATGTTGACTCTCCGGATGAAGAACAGAAACCCCTGGACCATCTCCAGCCAGCAGCAGCGGAGAAACTAAAAGTCGACAACTTGTTCGTGAACGAGACGAAGACAGAGTTTACTCACGTATACCTTGCAGAAGCCACGGAGACAGACTCACACGGCAAGGCTGTCCGCGGCAATGAGAGTTGGCGCAAGAACAAGACCCTAGGCTCCTTACTGTGCAGCACTTCAGACATCACAGCTCGCTGCATTCAAGGCAATGTAACATTCCACACGTTACAGAAACTCTGGAGCCAGCAAACCAAGATCCCGCTGAAGACAAGACTCTGTCTCTACAACACATACTGCGTATCAATCATGCTCTACAATTGCAACAGCTGGGCAGCATCCAAAGTCATGCTTGACAAGCTGGATGCGTGCCACCGCAGACACAGGTCACTGCTGGCCAAAGAGCCTTATCAGCAACCAGGCACTATGCGAACTGTGCAATGAAGAACCCTTCTCATCAAAGGTCACAAAGCAAAGATGGTCAATGTTAGGCCATGTCCTACGTATGGATCCCGACACACCCGCTCAGAGGGCCTTAGACTTTGCTGTTACTGGCTCTCAAGCCTACAAACCAAGACGAAGACGGAATTGCATAAATCTACTGGGCACGTCGTGCTGACCTCAAATGGGCTGGACTTGGACCCCTCCGCACTGCGAAACAACTCCATTGCCTACGGCAACACGCCCACGACAAGACCAGGTGGCCGAAAACCAATGTGAAGGACTGATTGCGGCTGCGGGATGTCAAATCCGTCTACCGCAGCTGCAGTACACAGTATATATATATATACATGCAATAAATTCCGAATATGAGTTAAACAAACTTTGGCATATAGCTCTACAGAGATGTATCAAGCACTGTGAATTGTGATAGAAGACGATTTCATTGGAGATATATATATAACAAAGATTAATACCAAAAGTTGCTTACAAGTAGAAAAATCGTGTACAAAGTCTATGGGATTTTCCAGGGAACAAAAGGAGAGAAAGAAAGAAAAAAAATGAGAACAAAAAGAAAGGCTTTTCCGCTACTTTGCAGAAAAGCAACACACAAAAAGGGGGGAAAAACCCTTAACAAAAACAAATCTGTCCCCAATGCAACAAATAGACAAATTCTAGCAATTTTTAAGTTTTCGTTTTGCCAATTGCAAGGGTATGTGTACATAGAAGCCTTTTGCAGGCATGCAATTGGGAAATTAAAAGAAAAAAAACAGAAATTCCAAACCACAACAAGACTTTGTACAGTGTTATTCAATTTATGAATGGCATTCTTGAGAAGTTAAAACCAAGGAAATCGGCTGATCTGAGGAAAAGTTGCTTGCCTGCTTTTGCTCAGGCAAATTTTTCTGTCTGGTGTGACGTCATTTCAGGCCAAAACCCCATTGTTACAACTACTCAGTACCAAAAATTGTTTTTAACTCTTACGTACCTGAAAATCCACACCCCTGTTTTGGAGGATTTCAGCTGAATCAGGATACTTCATATTGAACAAGTTGGGGTATTTTGATGGATTCAGGACAGTAAGCCCAACAGCACGGCAGGATTTTGATAGATTCAGAATGCTTCCATATTGAGCAGTTGGGGGGGGGGGGCTTTTGACGGATTCAGGATCTCAACAATTTAACCCCTGGCTCACTGGTGGATACTGATGGACTCACTGGATACCAACATTTGTTTGCATGACAAAACTGATGGATTTTGGCGGATTCAGGATACTTTCTATTAACAATACCCAAGGGGTTATGGTGAATGGCACATTACCGCCTGGAATGCACCCACTTGGCTACAAAACACTTTTGGATACAATTAAATGGCAAGAACAGTAAAAGTAAAATATAAACTTCCACACAAGCATCCATTAAAAAGTGGCTGCGTTTGTGTTATTCTTGCAAGAACCGTGCGAGAACAAATTTCGGGGGGGTCAATATTCTGTTTTCGAAAATCAAGCTGTGGATGGGTAAGAAAAAACATTTGTGTTGGTGCTCTGTGTAGTTTATGTGACACACACTGTGTATTGTACGTTGAATGGACCGGACAGGATTTACGTATGCGTATATGCCTTCACATCAGATGTTAAGACATAAGGGGACGGTAAGGCATAAGGTTAGTTTCCTTGCAATCAGACCTTAAAAAAGTAAACAATCCAAAACATGACATTTTGGGGGATTTCAGGCAGGAATGCCCCTTTCAATTTTTGGATATTGTGGTATTGTAAACAGCATTAACCAATGAGCAAACGTTTCTCAAGAACCTTTTCAATGAGCAGATTTTTTTGAATTCACAAAACCAAGTCATTTTTCCCCAATGTACATTTTACCTTTAATGTACAAAACAACTTAATTTGCCCAAATTACGGCAGGAATATCAGTTGATATATATATGACGTGGTATGTCAAATTCAGGCACATTTGCGCAAGAAGTCAATTTTCAGTTACTGCAATATTAGTGACAAATAGGTCTCTCTCAAATGATGTGACTACAGATTGCCACATGCATAGGCATTTGGTGTCTAATGTTCGTGACGCTCATCGGCTGCACCTTATTTCAATTTTTCAATTCAGAAAATTTGAGTAACATGCGCAGGTGATCAGAACATTTTGTACTCACCGTGCACAATGGCGTTGTGCATTCAAAATGACAATGTAATTTTCTTAATATGTCTTATAAGAGATACATCTATAGACTTCGCTCTTACAACACCCCTTTTTTTCTGAAATTTGATACTACAGCATGGTTTTGACATACTGTGTCACATAACATATAAAGAAATATTACTATGTAATTCAGTGGCGGATCCAACATTTACAGAAACGAGGGGGGTGCCAATAAAGGATGCAAACCTGAACATTCAAGCAGGGCACATTGTACTTGCTATTTAATGTGGGTGAAAAGTTTCTGTCTTCAATATATCACAAGTGAAGTGAATAAAAAAGGAAAACAGACAAGATGAATGCACTTCCCATTCTGCCCATCTGATCCGCCACTGTTTCTTGAACAAAGCAAATCAACACCGAGCTAGGATATACTTTTACATTCAAGAAAGAAGTAAACAGTTACCACATTCCCCTGGTCTTGTGCCTGTGGTCCCCTCCAGCATGGGTCCCCTCCAGCGTGGGTCCCCTCCAGCTTGGGTCCCCTCCAGCAGGGGTCCCCTCCAGCGTGGGTCCCCTCCAGCGTGGGTCCCCTCCAGCGTGGGTACCCTCCAGCGTGGGTCCCCTCCAGCGTGGGTACCCTCCAGCGTGGGTCCCCTCCAGCGTGGGTTTCCTCCAGCTTGGGTCCCCTCCAGCGTGGGTCCCCTCCAGCATGGGTTTCCTCCAGCGTGGGTCCCCTCCAGCGTGGGTCCCCTCTAGAGTGGGCTCCCTCCAGCGTGGGTCCCCTCCAGTGTGGGTCCCCTCCAGCGTGGGTCCCCTCCAGCATGGGTCCCCTCCAGCGTAGGTTCCCTCCAGCGTGGGTCCCCTCCAGCGTAGGTTCCCTCCAGCGTGGGTTCCCTCCAGTGTGGGCTCCCTCCAGCATAGGCCCCCTCCAGCGTGGGCTCCCTCCAGCATGGGTCCCCTCTAGCTCCACCTTTATGATCCAATCTATATGTCTCTGGGTAAGAGGTCTCCAGGTGAGGGCCGCAGAGGGTGCTGGAGCTAAGCCAAGTGGTCTCTTGATCTCCTTTGCCAGGGGTTTTCCTTAGCGGTCGCCCGCTCGCCAAATGCGAGTGAAAACAGCGGCGGGCGAGTCAAAACCCTCCTCTCAGTAGTCCGACGGGCGAGTCAAAAAACTGTTTAAAACAATAAAAATAACGAAGTTTTCCCTACAGTATTTTTCAATCAATCAAAATAAAAAGTTAAGGGTGATACAACACATGAATACTTTTGCCACGCCGACCGAAATAAAAACATCGGTAGTTCGAATTCGTATCACTTCCATGTATATATTCGCAGTGCGCTGTGCATTGAAATCCCAACGACGAACATGAGGCGAATCAACGTGTATTTGCCATTACACATTGTGCACACATGCAGCGCACGTGATTTACTTCGTCTGCAGTCCACACGGTACGGACGTACGTACGTACACGTTAACATCGTATTTGTATCATAGAACGTGGTGAGGAGAAAACTTTCATGACAGTTTCACTGCCAAAACTTGTGCCCGAACGGATGATTTCTTGAACACTATCAAACGAATGTACCGAAAATATGAGGACAATATGAGATTCGAGGGGCCTATTTTGAATGTAAAGACTAGTGAATGTAAAGTGGACCGTGCTCCGGAAAACGTTATGGATTGACGTGACCAGCGTAAGTTCGTGGGTCGCCCGCCCGCAGCGCTTCTTGGCTAGGCACGCTGATTGCACCATTCTTCACTAGAAATGCATGGCGCGCGCGAGAGATGTTTTTTTTTGAAAATACTGGCCTTCTCACTCATCATGTTTCAAACAAGTTAAAACAGTTCAGTTACTAACTTGGTAAACTCCCATTAATACCATGACTGTGTGCAATGTTTTCTTGTTCCTCAAGATAACGCATTTTTAATTCGTGTTTTATCAAAACATGTCGGAAATAGAACACCTAAAGCCTTAAGTTCGGAACGAAGCACACTGCATAAATTTTGATTATAACTTCTCCCCCTATTTGATTCCTGTTAATTAAAGCCTTGCTCTATGTTAAAGCATGGACGATTAAAGAAACATTGACATCACTTAAAAAGGAACTACATGCAATATTATGTACATGATTAAGATAATTGCCGATTGTATTCATATTGCATAATTTATTATCAAAAATGTTGTCAAAAATGGTGATTTGATCGAAAGTTGCTATTAAAACATGTGGGCTAGTGAAAAAGGTTGCGGGCCAGTGAAAACTCTGGTTTACTGGCCCGGTCGGCCAGTAAAGGAAAAAGTTAAGGAAAACCCCTGTTTGCAAGCATTTACTGGAAACCAGCACGGCCTGTTCACCAATCAAACATAATACATAATATCAGATCAAGACGTAGAGTTGAAATACATGTAGAGTCCATTACAAGTCAAATCACAGGTCTAATAATACTCAAGACACACTGTGATTGTTAAAGCATTGCATTTTTTACAACTTGATCGTTCATGTGGTTGTCTGGATCAGACCGGCCACATGCTAGCGGGCAGCGCGGTATGTATAGTGGTACCCTACTGTTGTGTACCATTGTGTGCTGTGCACTCACGCACCACACACTGTATAATTACCGTGTGATACAGTCAGCATCACACGCTTTCCATGTCAGCAGGTCAATGTTTCAACTTTCATCCAGTGGGAAAAGGCTCCATTCAGTGTTGGCCTAGGTGTTTGTATATTCCCTTTACGGCCGGCAAGTGAGATCAGCTTCATCCTGAATCAAGACTCAGCAGCACTGATTTCAACAAAATGTAGCCAAAGCAGCTTGATTGTACTATTTGTGTCCTTATTTTGTGTGGTTCATGAAACACCACAAAGCATATATGCATAAAAGGGAGGGGAGGAGAGCCCACTGACACCACTGCGTATATACACCATGCGGACAGGAGGGAAGAGGCATTTCTTGCATAAGTTCTTTACAGACGGCCCACTTGCAAAGAGTAAACTGCATACCTTGGCAGTCACACTTGTTGGCGATTGTCCCCATGCATTCTTGCATTTGCGGATGCCCAGCTTGATCTTAGGCCTATCTCTAGTCTCCTCCAGCATGGCTTCCAGCGTCAGCCTGTCAGCTCTATAGGGGCTCTGGTCTGGGTCTCTACAAAGTAAGAGGTCGGGGCAGTGTAGGGTATTATGGCTCCAAAACTCGCAGCCAGGATCCTAGTCAGTAGCCTGTTCATGGATAAAAAGCAAAATTAGAAATAATTCTTGAAGAACAAGTTAGAGGTAGAGTTGAGATTGTGTAAATCACAAGTCAAATTACAACAAAACAGGATGAATGAAAGAGGAATATCTGAACAGTTCACATGAATTGCTTGCAAAAAAAACCCAGTACTGTTAAACCAAACAGTGGCATATGAATTCCTTTGGTGTATTAATTGTACATCTAAACTCCAATAAAATGTGCCGTTGCTCAATGGCTCAGCGCGTTGGGTCTGTTTATTGTATACGTGCTAGGCAGCGTTAGTGGACATACACAGAGCTTATCTCTATGTGTCCAAGGTCATCTTGGCTGTGCGCTTCGGCCAGTTTACATGGGGTCCTTCTGACCACAAAGGATTTGATATGTTATACCTTCAAAGAAGGTTCAAGTGCTCTCCAACCATGACGTGGCTCCAAAAGACTGGTAGATCATCTCACACGTGATGCCCAGTGTCAGCTCAATGGGTTTTTGGCACTGCACCCACTGTTGGGGACTGGGTTAGGGACTAGATGACTCATCCTGTTCTTGTTAGGGGAGTGTGGGCAGGGCCGCAAAACAACCCCACCAAATTCCTCGGTCAGACAGTTGCTGCCACCCAGCTTCAGCCAGAAGCACTTTAACTGCGCAAGGGCCGCTCTTTGCAGTTGGTGGCCCACTTGTACGAAGCTGGCCTATCAGTAATAGCCGCTCAGGTTCAGCCAGAAGACGCTGTGACTGTGCAAGGGCCGCTTGTTGCAGTTGGTGGTTCAGCGCTATTGTGTGAATCTGACCTAGCAGTGACTGCACCTGACCCTTGCTGGTAACCGTCACGATATGGTGTACTTGGTAACCTAGACATCCATCCACCAACTTGATGTTGCACATACTTCTTGTTGCCCGACCCAGCAGGTCCTCTACCCTCTAATTGTAAAAGTTGGCTTCTACTGTGTCCTGCAACATAACGTAGAATGAGAAAGTGATTCCAATCGCTTCTTTAAAGGATTAAAAAGAGAGAAAAATCTTCCAATCCAATTTCAAACACAAACAAACAAACCTGAATTTGTTTAATTGGGACTCAGGTTTTAATCCTTGTTGCAGGGACGACCGTACAATTTTGTGTGCAGTACATGTTGTGTAATATAATCACTTAGACATTTCTGGGTTACAAAATACATTAGTTTTATGTACGCCGGCATACGCATGGTACGGCCCAATACGCCGGACAGTTTTGGGCATGCACAAAACTACGCTGCGTACGCTGTTACGCAGGTCATATGTTATATACGCAGCACATCGGCCCCGCATCGGTCGAGCGCGATACGAGTACGCTATGTGTTCGTAGGGGATAAGCGGTTCATACGCGGTAATACGCTGATCTCCCAGCACGCACCCCGTCAGCATATGAGCCGGTGTATACATGTACATAGCGTACTTGCAGCGAAGATACATCACACGCTGAACGAACTCATAGCGAATGCCGACGTGCTGCAAGAATTAGTACTGCTCATTCTGCGAGTGGGCAGCGCATTGTACTTATTCGTAACTTATGAGAAACATACAGATAGCGTACTTGCCGCAACTCATACGCATCTCATATGCAGATGATGCACTGGATTCGTTACTTGTATGCTAGATGTGCGTCGCACATTAAAGTCAAAATAATAAAAAACAAGTCAGGTGTGTTTACAAACACAAATGCCCCGCAACCGTGACTGTTTCCATGACATAACACCACTCTAACATCAACTTACATGTACCTTGGTCAAATGGAACGTTCATTGACAGCATTAGTGTCTTCTGTAGGTTTTATATGAATTAATCCCTAATCCCTATGATCTCAGAATAAATACAAGATTTCTATTGTTTCAGCCACTGTGACCTTGACCCTTGACCTTTCGACCCCAATGCGATAGGCTTCTTAAGATTGCCAAGGACAATCCACAAACCAAATTTGAAATTCATATGTAAAGTATATCTGAAGTTATCACGCTGACAAAATTTCTTTTGTTTTTGCCACTGTGACCTTGACCCTTGACCTTTTGGCCCCAAATGCAAAAGGCTTCTTAGGATTGCCAAGGACAATCCACTAACCAAATTTGAAGTTCATATGTGAAGTATTTCTCAAGTTATCGCGCTGACAAAATTTCTATTGTTTCAGCCACTGTGACCTTGACCCTTGACCTTTTGGCCCCAAATGCAAAAGGCTTCTTAGAATTGCCAAGGACAATCCACAAACCAAATTTGAAGTTCATATGTAAAGTATTTCTCAAGTTATCGCGCTGACAAAATTTCTTTTGTTTCAGCCACTGTGACCTTGACCCTTGACCTATCGGCCCCAAATGCAAAAGGCTTCTTAGGATTTCCAAGGACAATCCACAAACCAAATTTGAAGTTCATATGTAAAGTATATCTCAAGTTATCGCGCTGACAAGATTTGTCCGGACACACACACCCACACACCCACCCACCCACCCACCCACGGAAGGACAAGGCGGAAACAGTATGCCCCTTCGGCTTCGCCGCGGGGCATAAAAATTGACGTTTTGAGCATATGGCAGGGTATTGAAAAATTTTGATAAGGAACTCATAAGGAATTAGGATACGCAAAAGTGTGACAGGGGCTTTATATTAATCATGTGCATCAGGTCGGGTTGACCAGGCCAAACCGACCCAAAACATTGGAGATATAAACCGAATCCGAACTGAAACCAATCTTAACTCCCTAAAACCGACCCGACCCGACAAAAAATAAGGTGAAACCGACCCAAACCGACCCGACTCGAAAAAACCCCGAATATACCTTGCTTGGACAAAGTGATCACTTTTTTGTGCCTGCCCTTACCCACATGGCATGAATTCTTTGCAAATCCATCGTCTCTCTGTCTGTCACACTCAGTTGGTTCATCGAGAGCAACTCTGCTTATTGAACAAACGCTTGGTATCATCACGCAGTATCATGAAAACTGTTACAACGTATCTAAACCGACCCGACCCGAAGTCGGTTTCGGGTCGGGTCAGTTTCGGGTCGGGTTTGCACATCATTACTTTATATGAAAGCATTTTAAAGAAAATTTGTCATCGAGCTATCACACAGTAGCCTAGTGGGTAGCAAGATGGGAAAAAATGTTGCAACCTGACAGCACTTCCGCGATTGTGTACAAAGTCTATGGAGAGGCAAAAACATTTTTGAAGTATTTCTGAACAAATTTGGAAAATTTCTCAGTCCCTCATTCATGTCTTATCATTTTTGCAATGAATGACCTTCATTGAGATGCAGTGGCGTTTCCAGTGGGGGGGGGGGGCACTTTGTCCCCCGTGGCGGATTTTTTTGACAATTGTTTTTTGTCAGCAATGATTTTAATAAATGTTTAAAGATTTTTCTGACATCAAGCCCACCAAAGAAAACCTGCTCAACAACCATTACAATGCGCAGTGAAATGTATAAATGTGTAGTATGCATAATAATGGTCAGTTTTGAGGAGCGCCCCCATTTGGAAGTGTCAAGAGGACCCCCCCCCCCCCCTCATTTCACGGAGGCCAAGTTTCCAGAGGGAAAAACATGTCTACATTTCGGCGTGGATGTGCGGTTGCCCCCCCCCCCCCCTGACATCAAAAGCTGGATACGCTGCTGTTGAGATAATATATATATGAAGAAAAAAATTTTTCTACGAGTATTACAAGATCCCTGATTTGAATCCCTGTCATCTACTCCCATAAATGTGACTGAAATACTGGACTACCTCCGTATTATAAGTTACAAAGCCACGTACGGTCTGTGCGCGGGGGGTCCCGTTGCTAGGGGGAGCCGAAAATTATTAAAGATTGAAATTATTTTGTGAGATGAAAATCAACCTAGCTATAATATGACTGATAAATAGTACCAAATTGTTAAATTCCGTACCTTCAGAGGTCTGGTTATTCAAAAATCATGGTGATTCATCAAAGAATGCAGACGGTTTTTGACAAGCATGACGTCTCCAGACTGTTTCCCCCGCCACCCTAATAATAGTGAAGAGGCTAAAGGGGTCAAGGAACCAGACGAAGCTTTAATCATCGACTAAGCGTGCATCAATTTTGGCAAAGCGCACCGCGGCTGTTACCTGTCATTCCAAAATCTTTGGCACTCTGTAAAGTGCTCGGATGCAATGCGCCACGGCCATGGGCGTCGCCAGGACTTTTTCTAGAGGGGGCCAAAAAAAATTTTGCCAATAAAAGGTTGTATTTCTCAACACATTCTCGATTTATCAGTTTTAGAGGGGGGCAGGGACATTTTGCCCCCCCCCCAACTCATTAAATTTACACCACTTTGTCTTCGCGCCTCTTTTTTTTTTTTTTTTTTTTTTTCTTCCTTTTTTTTTTTTTTTTTTTTGCTTTTCCAGGGGGGGGGGCAAGTGCCCCCCCTTGCCCCCCCCCCCTCGCGACGCCCATGGCCACCGCGGCAGATTTTGGAATGACAGATAACAGCCGTGGAGCCCTTGCCAAAACTGACACACGCTCAGTAGATGATTAAAGCTTTCGTCTGATTTCTTGACCCCTTTAGCCTCTCCACTATTATTAGGGTGGCCGGGAAACAGTCTGGAGACGTCATGCTTGTCAAAAACCGTCTGCTTTCTTCGACGAATTACCATAATTTTTCGGTAACTAGACCTCTGATGGTGCCGAATTTAACGATTTTGTGCTATTTAGCAGTCATACTATAGCAAGGTTGATTTTCATCTCACAAAATAATTTCCATCTTTAATTAATTTTCGGCTCCCCCTAGCAACGGGACGCTCCGCACACAGGCTATACGTGGCTTTGTGACTTATAATACGGAGGTAGTCCAGTATTCCAGTCACATTTATTGGACTCAGTATCTCAGTATCTGTCACTCGGCTGTTCATTTTCATCCACTATTTTTGTTCTGAGACTGATTTTTTTTTTTTTTTTGGAGAAAATTTTGAGGATTTTTTTTTTAGTCAAAGGAAAAACATAAATTAGCCTAAGTGGTACAACCAGGAGTTGTGATTCTGGCACGAGTTTTGTGCCTAATTTCCGGACGGTCCCGTTTTCGGTTTTTGTTGCTGCAGTGCTGGCAGTGACAACGGCACTGATGATGACACGCCCGGGCTAAATTTGTGTGATCTCGGTATCTCTAAATTTGGCCCAAAACATCCAGCACAAGTTCCAGCATTAAGATGTTGATACACTAAGTTAACTTACATTTCATATAGAAGGTGAAATTTCCCGTTCTTGGCCGAGAGCCTGCCAACGTGTCCTGCTGGAAAACACGAGCAACCCATCACATACCATACCAGCACTGGCAGTGATGGACCCGCCCTTCTCATGCCGTACGTACAGTACATGTGGGCCGATGCAGCTACTCGACTCGTGGACGCACATTCTTTCGTTTTACACGCGGTTCAACCGCTGTGCTCTTATCCTATCAAAAGCCGTGCAAAACAATATGGTGTCATATGAAAACGCGTCTCCTATAAAAACTGGATTCTGTGACCCGTTATTGGTTAAAGGTAAAGTCCATCTCTTGTAATTTGTGCATTTAGTGTTTGTTTGAAGCAACGTGCTCAGTCAAAATCTAAAGTCATGATGTTTAGCAAGTGCACCCGCGTGAGCGCTTCGCTGAATAAAAAACGAAGTAGGGAAATTTCCAGCGGTGCATCTTAAGACGCACTGTTGGAAAGCCTTCTTTTGTTGATTTTTTTTCAAAATGACAGCTTGCCAGAAAAGATAATTTCACAGGGCGTTTAGCCCCCTTACTATTTTTCAACCGAGTATGTTATTTTTCAACAATAATTACCTCAGTTACTTTTTGGATAGCTGCAAATGATGGACTGTACGTAGCTTTAAACCTTTCTACGTGACCGCGATCGCTCTACTATTATTCTTAGGCATGCGCAGTAATTAAGCAGACTGGTGATGGTCACGCGGGAGGGTTTAACCAATAA